TAATTTTAATTTAAGAAAAGAGAACTCTTCAAAGTACATAAACTCTGGTTTTTGGGATTCAGGGGAAATTCCTGAAGGAAGAGACAGTTAAACTAAAACCTTAAAGAAGAATAAAAAAAGTAAGGAGGATGGGTAAAGGAAGGTATTCGAGAGAGAAGAAAACTCATGTAAAATATAAACAGGCAAAAGAAGCAATTTAACTTTGGAGCACAGAAAAGTAAGGGATGCTACAGAGGCTGTAGAGGTAAGAGCCACATTATAAATAACCGTGAATATCTACAAAGAGTTTAGGGCCACATCCTAAGAGGAATAGGTAGACACTGCATGATTAATTTTATCATTATTGCCTTGGCTATTCTGTGGAATATGGAGTTGAGAGAGAAAAGATTTCAAACAAAGAAAACAGTCTCAACTCAAGGGAACCATTCTGGTGGCCTGAAATATATTCAAGAGCATAGGGATGGAGGTAAAAATGATTCACAGTTATCCAGATCAATATTTCAATATGATAGACATTTTTTATTAGGTACTCTTTACTGAGTGATCTTTATCATGTCATGTGCTTTAAGCTGTTTTTCACATACCCTTGATTTGCAAGGACTAAGCACAAAGGAACTGCACGGTTAGTAAGAACAGTAGTTGGGTAAGTACAGTGAGTCTACAGAAGCTTTTTTTTAGAACCTCATGTACAGTTAGCAAGTTCAGGGTTTGTAAGTACATTGTGTTTTGTTTTAGGGATCAGTTCTGACAGTAGAGGCTGAGACAGGTGTTGGAAGCTTATTTTAGGATGCAAAGGAAGCAATGAAGCAGAGGAAATTATCTTGACACTGGAAAAGCCAAGCTTCGTGGAGCACTGAAATGTTCCTTAAGCCCTTACAGTAATCCCAGAGGCTCAACAGCAGGCTGGCAGTCAACATTTTCCTGCTTCTGCTTTTGTACCACCATCAACTACAAAATCCCTAGATACCATTGCTTCTGTTGCCTCATGACCTCTGCTACTTCCTTTTGTGTGTATCTTTAGAGTTTCAGTCTCATTGCTGTGGAAATAGTTTCCCTATACCTTGGCAATGCTAAGGCTTCATCCCAAAGACTAGAGAGCTCCCCTGACAGATCATGAACAGAATCTCAGTAGTACTGTTACAGGTTCTCCTTGGTTTACTTTCTTATCCCTTTTGCTAATCACTGGGATGAAGAGGATGGAGATACATGTGTTCCAATCCCTAGCAGCAAGTCACGGGAAGAACTTATCTGAGAAAATTGTGGCAAGCACTTTGGGCTTTATGACTTGTCTTGAAGATAACATTTAACTACTTCCATAACTTTAAGTTCAAACTTTCTCTGCTGGAAAATAAGTGTTTACCAGGTCAGATGTTAGTTGATTTTGAAGCAAATCTTACATCTATGGAACTGCATCAGATTTTGAGGTATATGCAGAAAAGAAAACAAAGAAAAGCTAGTATGCACTGTCTTTTTCTCTGTCAAGTGTCTTTTAAAGAGTTGTACCAGTTATATTTCTTCGGTTGCAAGCAACAAAAAGCAGCATTGGGAAACCTACGTAGGCATCATAAGATGTAAAGATGTCACAGCAGAAACAGGATGGCAGAACACTGATGAAAGGGCACTAAATGTACACAAAGGTGGTGAAATTAAAAGGATAAGCAAGAAAACCATCAGGATAATGGTTATTTTGAGAATGAAGACAGGACTGGCTACTTATTTTGTGGGTATTATAGCAAAATGAAAATGCAGGTGCACTTCTCCTGCTCCTGACAGGAAACTTCGGAGGACTACTAATCTTGACAGTGGTGCTACATGTGCGCTTGCTCTCAGCTATTTGTAAGCCTTTTATGTAGCTTGGTACAGTCTTCTCTAAGTGTCTTAGTTTAAAAAGCCTCTCATATGCTCTGTCCTTGTGACACCCATATAACGTTTAACAGGGTGGTAAAAAGAATCTGAGTGACCGCATTCAGGTAAAACGTCCTGATATTGGTTGTCCACAGAATAATAGTACTAAGAATAACATAAGTAAAAAATTAAATATAAGCAATTTGAAGACAATAAGAACAAGTAGAAGAGCTAGTAATAGAAGTTACTACATGTTTTACGTGGCATTTCTGAATTAACTCGTTAGATTTACATAACAACCCTGCAACTTTGCCCCTTTACTTCCAGAGTGAAAAACAGATTCGAGGCCTTGGGTTTGATACCAACAATAAACCACTAAAGCAACTCCTGGAAAAAAGGTACTTGGGCTTATTAACTGCTACCATCTCACAGTATGACAGAAGATAATTCTCTAATGGGAAAATGGGATACAGACTAGATTGTGACTAGCTAAGAAATAACAAATGTCTGTTAACAGGTTAATTTTTTTAAAAAAAAGCTTTACTGCAAGCTAATTTTGTATTTGAATAATTGTTTGTTTTCATAGTTTAATGCCCAAAGCTAAGGAACCTATGCAGGAAAACTGGACAACACAATGGCTTTCAAAGTGTATGTCACTTAAGAAAGGAGGAGAAGGGGAAATATTTCTAAGAAATGTTCACTTACAAAGAAATAACGGGCGAATTCTTAGTAAGTAAGAAGAGTGTTGGACATGTCCAAGGTCTCCATTCTCACATTACATACCGCAACCTTAAGGTAGCTTCAGTGTCTCAGAGATAGACTCAGAACACTAAATCCACTCGAGTCTGCCCTCGAGTCTAATATAAACCATATCCATTGTCACTCATCTGCCAAACTGGAACAGCTGAGGAGCACAACTACACACATTAGATTCACGGATAAGCAAAGCTGCCAAATGGAGGCTCATGAAGAGGCAGAAATCTGGAAATCCCATTAGTAACAGATGCAGCTCCACATGCATGCCTGGGGAGGCGCTTGCTGAACCCTCGGGGAAATGCATATCCATCTTGTATCATGACAGACACTCTAAGCCAGCTTGAGATGTGTCACAAAAGAGTGTATAAAGCCAGCCAGTTAGCAGCTATTCACTTGCCCCAGAGCAGGGCAGACAGCAGTTCAAGTCCTTGTGCAGTCTCTCAATTGATGCTTGAATTAGGAAGCTGAGTGACTGCATTTGAATCCTACCTCTACCTCTTCACCTTGGGCAAGTTACCTCATTTCCCTGTGCCTCCATTTATTATCTCCAAAATGGAGATAACCCATTCTAGCATTATCATAAGGACTAAATATATACTGGCATGGTAATTTTTATTAATTATAAGATGAAGGAATTGATGAAAAAGATTGCTAGTCCTTTCTAATTATATTAATATATTTCCACTGCTATAGCAAAACAACTGATAATAAGTAATCTATAAAGAAAAGAGATTTATGTAGCTCATAGTTCAGAAGCTGACAGTCCACACTCAGATTGCCCATTAGTTTGGCCTCTAGTGAAGGCTTCATAGCTATTATAATCAGAGAGAGAGATCACATGGTGAGGCAGAAAGCCAGAAAGAGCAGAGAGAAACCAGCCTTGCTGTTTTATAACAACTCTCTCAGGAGAACTCGTCAGAGCCCCATGAGAAGTACCTTAATTCCTTGGAAAGGAAATGCCTCCAGTGACCTAATGACCTTCTGTTAGATCTCAGCTCTTAAAAGTCTCACTACCTCTTTTTTAAACATTATACTTTTATTTATTTTTAACACATATTAGTTGTGATATTAATGTAATTCAGTGTGGTATTTACACACACGCATAACACTCTTCTAACCTCCCAGCTCCCCCTCCAGTACCCTTCCAGTCCTTAGTAATCACTATTCTGTTTTCAGGTCCACTGTTTCTTAGTTTCCACATATGAGAGATAACATGTGGTGCTTGTCTCTCTGTGTCCAGCTTATTGCCTAACATGATTTCCTCAAGTTCCCTCTACCTCTTAACACCTCCACACTGAGGACCATGCCTCCAACACATGAATCCTTGAGGGGACACTCAAGTGACATCCAAGCCACATTCTGTGACAATTTTTTGAGAAGCACCTGAAATGGCAATCCCTTTTGTTCTCATGAATGTCAAAATACTTATGACTCTGAGTTTCTATTAAGTTACTGACGACATTACTTGTGCATGTATTTTCAGTTCTCTTTTCATATCTATTTAAAATCTTATAATACGCATAAGCTCTTATAAAATACAGGAATTTCAACTTCAGCCCTTCACCGCTGATAATCAATGTGGTCAAACGTTGAGTAGGGAAGGAAATGGACTCTTCTCCTGTCTGCTTTGGCTCAGTCCTACTTGTCACAAAGAGCTCACTTAGGACAGGGTGGATTCAGGCCAAAAGGGGCACATTTACATGTGAAGATGGTCACATGATGACAGAATTCTAGATTTAGAAGCTCAACGTGGAGATTACCCTTGCTGAAAATATTCTTAATGTATATTTTAGTGGTAAATTGCTAACATTCTTTCCATATTTCCTGACCTCAGCTATTCCCTCCCCTCCTCTGTGGTTAAGGGTAAAATTCAGGAATGGATAACTTTCAGAGAATCAGGGAGACAGAACTTTGCTTGTGGTCAAAAAAACAGAAGAAAAAAGAAAGAGAAAGAAGTGAGAAGACAGAGTAAGAGAAAGAGACAGGGGCAGGGGGTTTAGTTCCTTTGAAACTTATTAAGAGAAGTCAGAGCTGGGGGAAGGCGGGAGGAGCCCTCTCCAGAGACCTACATGCAAGACATGGACTTGCATTCACGTATCCAAGGCAAAATATTAGAAGAAAAAAATCTTAAGAGATTTTGCATATACTACAGAAATAAAAGCAATAAACTGTGACAGCAGACTAGACTTTCCTGATAGAGATACTATAATTTCTCAAAACCAATAAAAAAAGTCTTCAAATATATCCTCAAAGAAGCTTGACTGTTTATTGTAGCATCACATTTACGACCCACATGAGTTGCAGTCAACTAATATCATTATAAACTCAGATTTATAGTCACTTAGATTGGGTTTTTCCTCCCACTAGGATCCTAGATTTGACAAAAATCCCCTCCTTACTTGCATGAGGAATTCCCGTTGTAGTTGAGGATGCTAGAGGCTGTGGACTCTCAGTATCTTACTGTTTGTGACAGTTTTACACACTCCATATTCTTCAGAGGACAAAAGTTATGTGCAGAGATTGAATTCTTGGTAGAAGATCTATCAATTTCCATTATAGTGATAATCAGAGATAAAGGAGTTCCCTGGAATAAAAACTCAAATAAAATTATGAGTAAATCACTTGGCTTGGTTGGTCATAGATGAAAAAAACCAGTGTGACTTTTAGAAGTTGAAATCTTTGATTCTTCCGAAATATTTTCATAAACTCATTTTTTAAGAATGGCAGAAAACCACAAACTGGTCTTGTGAATCACGTAGCTCACCAGATTTATGAGGCCAACAGATTTGTAAGGCTAGGGGACTAGGAAAAGATGGCAAGAGTAACCCTCCCACCGGCACCCCTCAGTCTAGGAACAACTAGTGTCTCAGAGCCAGGTCCTGACTTCAGGGATGCCCACAGCTCTCTTCTCAGAAAGCCTTGAGGAAAAAAACCTAGGGAGGCAGAAGACAATCATTTAAAGTGCACCACATTCAGTTTTACTTAAAAAAAAAAAAACAGCTGGGGCATTGATTCCTACGCTCTGTAATGCCATTGGTATGCCTGACTTGGCCAAGATATTAAAAAGATATTTGAGGAAATGTCAGTGAGTGTCCCCAGCACAAGCTCCGGTATATGCAAACAGAATTCTCTTCCTTTATGTTTCGCTATGCAAAAAGGAGGGGAGGGAACACTTGCGCCATGATTTAGGGTGACACGTCCGTTATAATGAAAGCCTGTGCCGCTTGCCAACACTCCTGGCTGATCTGCCTCCTCCCAGATGCTCAACCATATGTCCCATGCTTGCTGTGAGTGACAGTTGTGTTGGTGGAGAAGGATTCCTGGGCTCTGGGCATTTTTAACAGAAATCCCAGACAGCTCTGAGATTGGTGGTTCAGGTGAGAAAGGCAGCAGAAGAGGGTTCCTCAAGTGGGAGCTGAGTACTTTTAAAGGTGTGTCAGTGGTCTGAGCACAGGGTGAGGGAGATGCACTGTCTCAGAGCCAAGGGGATTGCTGCACAGAGAGTCCAGGCCGTGCTCTCAGCAGTTTCCACTGCTGCTGGCCTCCCAGTGCAAGTTCTCCTCTTTCCTGCCTCGCCCCCGCTGGCTGCTCTGTGCCTTCTGTCTTCCAGCAGCTCCTGCTCTTCCTCACTTACCAGGGCCCCAGAAGATGAGCTCTTAGCTGCATGCTTACTCCCAGTCTGTGAAAGCAGCTGCTGCTTGGACTGTGCTGATTTCCTGGCCCCCTGCCTATTGCAACCCTAGCTTAATTGCCTCTGCTGTTGGAATGAAACCAACATTTATTGAACACCTACTATATGGATGACATCATGTTAGGCCCTTCAAAAAAACAGAATTAAGTGTGAAATGTGATAATGGGGTTTTGCCTGAAAATGTCTAAATCTCAATGTGAATTAGAACTATTTTATGCCCTGCCAACCTTGACCATGTTTGTTAACCTCTTTTTTACCTCCATTTCTCCAACCATAAAATAGGGAGAATAATGCTACAGAATAATGATTGCTATTCATAAATTAGTATGTGTAAAATGCTTAGAATAATACATGATACAAAAGCATTCAATAAATGTGAGCTGGTTTTGATCCCTGACTGGAGGCAAAAGGAACAAATAAGGAATAAAACATGTATATGCCATATTTTATAACAAGACATTTGTATAAACTAAATTTTCACAATGCATTTAAGATAGGCATTACTATTAGCCTTTCATTTTTTAATATAAAGAATCTGCTACATTAATAGTTTGCCCAAGCTTTCAATATTGACAGAACTTACAGTCTAAGCCAAAACTACTTGGTACCAAAGTCCTTGCTTTTGAAAAGACAATTTAAAATATAAATGTTATTTCTAAAACATTATAGAATATATGGCAAAATGATATCTGACTGATTTTGTGTATAAATTGCCTGTGACTAAATTGTGCATAAATTGCAGTGAGCGTTTACTTTGCTATGAAGCTACCGGAAGCAGGAAGTTCTTCCTGCCACTAGACTCAGAGGATAAGGAGGAAGGCCACTTCCGGGGGCCCAGGGAGGGAGGCCACGTGGGCAGAGGGCAGCCCAGCAAGAACTGTACCTCTGGGTGAAGGGACACAGCCCATAACCAGGAGAGACAGAGCCAGGGACATAAATACCCTGTCTTACCCTCCTCCTTCCTCTCGCCTGCCAGTGCCATTGGGACAGCAAGGGTGCCCTTTGCTACAGTCGGCAAAGACCATCCTCCCTGGGCAGAGAAAAAATGGAGGACAGAGAATGGCCAGGGTTCAAGTGAAAGATAATCCACACAAAAGCCTTGCAAGGAGAGGAAACAGCTCGCATAGCTCAGTGACTGAAACACAGATAATACTGAACACTTAATGGTTACTGTTGTCTCACTGTTTCCCGCATTAGTTAGCTCGGGATTCATGTACAGCTCATCTCCTCTGGCCTCACCACAAATGAAAATGTTTTCTAGGCCTTGCAGTGGCATGAGACTGGAGTCACTAAATAATTAAACTGAACTTGTTTGGGTTTTTGTTGTGTGTATGTGGGTGGGTGGGTGGGGGATTAGTTTTTTGTTGTTGTTTTGTGTTTTCTATAATCTTTTGCATTTCTATTTTTTTAAAAGGAAGTTTTAAAAAAAAGAAGTACTCTTGAAAATCATCTTTTTTAAACACAACCTTTGTGATTTGTTTTATTGGAAGTTCTTAACAGGAAAGGGGCCTGTTTGTTTAGATTGCTATGCAACAGGAGGCATTGAGTAAATGGTTTCCCAGTTTTTATTATTTTAAACTTCACCCAGGAGAAAATTGGTCCAAGTTTAAGAAAAAGAAGAGGAAAGGAATATAGACTCCAGTGTTTTCAAACTTCTAAAAGACATCGCAACTAAAAGAACTTTTAATAAAAACCACCTTTGTTTTCTTACTTCCAAGGTAAAATCAGTAGAAAATATGTTTACATCTATCCAAGTAGATTTTTTTCCCAGCCATTTAAAATACTGTGTGCTAAATAATTACTTACTGTTGAAAATTCCTCATTTTTAATCAAATGTCTGCAAAAAGTTAAGCTGCTGTAGAATTATTTTTCATCTCCCTTCCTGGAGGAAAGGCACAAAGCACAATTAGGTGCAGAGGGAAGAGGGGCAGATACTTACATGAATTCTCAGCCCATTTGAACTCAGTCCATAGTTTTGTTTACAAAAGTTTTAATTTCCCCATTGAGCCATTTTTCATGATGCCAAGAGGGTTTTGGTTGACATTCATGTCAGCGCTGACTATCAGATTGGCAGCCTTGGTGAAGTCTGTGAATCTTCTGTTCAAGCTAGAGTGTCCCACACTTGGTTAACTCAGACATCTGGAAGCCAGTGGTGGGGAAAGAGAGCAAAGGTTAGGGGAAAAAAACAACACTCAGTAGCAACCAGCAAAACAGAGTTGTCGGGAGCAACAAGAAGGGACTGTAAATAGACATCAGCTTTTGTGGCACTAGCTCATCTTTTATAAACAATGTCCTACTGCTCATCTAATGCTGAAAGATGGAAACAGGTATAAAAGAAGTAAATAAAAACGATTAAAATAACCACTGCCCAAAGACTGCCAATGCTAACACTTTAATACATTTCTTTCCAGTTTTTAAAGAGATATTTATTTTAGACATATGTAAGATTATAAAGAAATGTAACATGTATTTTTCAACTAAAAAAGATGATTTTAAATATACAGTTTTATGTGCTGCATTTGAATTCTAACGTTACTCTTTTCATACATATTTTCAGAATTTCTATTAGCCACATAATTGTTCATCCTGCAAATGTGGTAAAATTTATACAAGCAACCTTTTTGTTGACATTCATGTTGTTTCTAATTCTTCATTATTGTAAATAACATTTTGAAGAATATCCTTTAAATGATATTCTTATAATTCTATCTATAAAAAAATTCCTAATAATGAAATTATAGAATAAAAAGCACTTTAAAACCTACAGCCCAAATCACCCTCTACAGAGAGAGGCTATCCCAAATCCTCATCTTGGGGGCAGCTTATGAAAATATCTATTTCATGACATCCTGACAATTATCTTTGAAACCCTTAGCCTATTTGAAAATTTAAAAAAAAGTCTTCATATTTTAAAACTTCTTTTTCTTGGCTTCATAGTAAATCTGAACATTTATTGACCATGCCACCTTAGCTATGAAAATCCTGATTTCCCTTGGAGTAGACATAGAGTGCCATATCCCTGAGAAAAATCAACTTCCGTGAGAAGTGTGAGGACAACTCTTTTAATATAAATATCAAAATCTCCCCATTGACCTTCATTTGAATAATAATGCCAAACAATGGATTCCTTTCTGTCATATTTTGTAATATAGTCGTGCCAATTTTCAAAGGCTGACGTACCCTGGAATTAAAAACAGACTGTGGCGAGAGTCACTGGCAGCTCTCCAAACCAGAATGACAAGTGATCATTTCTGTCATTCTGAGCCCACAGGGTACGGGACAGGGACATAGGACCTAGTGACATGGGAATCCATCAGCAAGCTGACACTTGTTCACCCTTCACATGTCAGAGACCCCGCCGACAGTTGTATCAAGTGTGCAGATCGCTTCTTAGAATACATCTTTAACTACTTAAAATAGAATAGGTAGAACTATAAAAGAATCGTTATATTAATATTGTTAGGAAAGCAAAAATCCATAGCATGATAATATATGTTTATTTATTAACCACTATATAACAAAATCTAGTGGCAGATCAAAAAAATTGCCATCATTGCAAAGATATAGATATTTTAAGTAAATATTAGTAGAAAATATTTATTTCTAGCAGTGATAAAATCTAAGTACTGCAAACACCATTCTAGTTTGTTACCTACATTTGTAATGAAGGGAATGCAGCATTTCAGTGACAGTTTTGTAAAAGATGCAAACCATCTTCTCATATTGAATGTTTCAGTTCTTATCATGGACTTCAGGTAAAGAATCTGTGGTCACAAAGAAATGCTCAAAAAGTGTTAAGTTATACAAATGCATCATCTCTACCTCCACCCAACACTAGTAAACTGACATTTTCTCTGGGTCCTGTCCATCTTTTTTTTCTGTTCTTCTGTAATTACTACCATTCTGGGAAACTGTTGGAACAGTGCAGTAGATTTGGCTACAGTGGAAGATCTTAGTCAAATGGTTGAAGTCACCATGTTTTAACACTGTGCAGATCCGTGTGCTCTGATCACGCGCTGCTCCTAACACCATTATAACACGCTGCAACTTCACAGTCCATCCCTGAGAAGCAAAAGTTCAGGGTTCCAGCGACAGCTTCACCCTGAACACCAGCTGTGTGACTGTGAAAACAAAACAAGCAAAAACAAAACAAAATGCACAAACAAACAAGCACAAACCTTTGACATTCTCAAACCTTAACCTAAAAAAAAAAGGAAAAAGACTACGCTGAAAACACCCTTCCAACCCTCAAAATGCTTGACATTAAAAGTTTTTCACTTCCATTGTGTTTTGAAGATACATGTATCTTTCTGGAAGAGTTCTTGAGCATGCAGAACAGAGGTATTACCTGTTTTCTAGAGTTTTCTGTCCTCTTCCTTCCTACCAGTCTCCCTCTTCCTTTTTTTCTTATGTTTCTGGTTAAAACACAGAATTTGCCTTTTCCTGAAAGCTATAGAATGTGAGTTCTTACGTTGACTCTAAAGTAGAGCTTGCAGTTTCTCTGGGTTTCGTCTGGCACAGCCTTCCTCCCACTGGGTCTGAATGCCAGGGGAGCCCGCCTCCACCTCAGCGTTGGTGGTGGAGCTCCCCGTGCTCTGCTCACGGAGCACCCTGCCTTCCTCAGTAGAGAAATTTTCCTTCTAGTGCCTTTTTTTTCCCCCTTGAGGCCTTGGGCAGAAATTTCTTTCAGTGTGTTGCTGCTTGGAACAAGGGAAGTATTCTATTCTCTTACTCAAATAGAGTTCACAGAGTAAATATTTTTTGCAGCTTTTCATTTCTAATCACCCAGCATTTTAAACACTTGGCATTCTGCTGTGTTCAGCCCGGACTCAGATTCAGGGAGCACCGTGAGCTTCAGGTGTCAGAGAACAGAAGGCTGGGGAAATGAATGGCCTGGCATGGACACCCTGGGTCCCTTGGGCCCTAAGAATACTAACAAGGCAAAAGAGAGAGAGACACAGAGGCAGTCTGCTCTTGGCAAGTCCAGGCAAGGCTTCCTTTGATGTGAAGCCTTGCCTGATATTGCTTTGTGTGTCTGCATTAGTCCTTGGCAGGCAGGAGGCAGTTCCTTTCCAACGAGATGCCCTTGTGTATTGCTGCCATCCAGTGAAACAGGGATGCTTGCGAGTGGCGCCCAGGGTACTGGGGGAGGGGAGGAGGCAGGTCAGACAGTCAAGGAGAGCCCAAGTGCCAAGGTGAAGGTGCTAGCCAGGGAGCTGAGGCAGGCCTGGGATTTACACCAGAGCTCTCAGAACATTTTACTGATTGTACTTTGAAGTAGGAACAATTTGAAAGAGATACAAAGTAATTAGGAGCAAAATGATGAAAATTATTTCCTTTGATTGAAACACAGAGAGATTTAGAAATACCCACTGCAATTATCTCAAGTTAGTCTGGATCAAATACTGGCTTGTCAATGTTAATCACCACAGCTGACAAGACTTCCCTTAGGTTCTGGGGAGGTCATTAGTTCTATAAATGGTTCTGGGTACCTCTCCTTTCAAATGTAAGGTAGATTGCACTTCCTGGTGCTAACAGATGAACAGAGGTGATGTGGTCTCCTCCTGGCTGAAGTATTATTGAGTGGAGATCCTCTAACACACTCCTTCCCTGAAATGTTGGTACTCCCAGTTTGGGGACTCCATAATGTCGAAGTCCTCCTACCAACCCACAATGGGCAAGTGACATGAGCAAATCACTCTTCCTTTGGCTTAAAGTCACTAAGATTTGAATACTGTTATGGCAGCCTAACCTAGAATATCACTGACTAATGAAGACACATAACACTTTTTCTTGTCCTATTGCAGTTACAGAAATTAGACTCTGGGCTATATTGGAGTGATCCTTAATGTCCTTGGAAAATCATTCCTACCTTATTTAGGCAAAAGACTGTCAGAGCCAGGAACTGAATCCCTACGAGAGACAGCATTACAAGCCAACTGTTTGTCCTTCCGTCTTAAAGTCTTAAGCTTTGGGAAGCCCAAAATATTGTAGGTAAGAGCCACAGTTGGTTCAAGAAAGATGTCAGATGTTTACTGAAGATTGCTAAGCTTAATGGAAACCTTGAAAAAAAAAAACCCATCTATACAATACACTACTTAAATCTCTACATATATTTCTTTTTTACTTTAAAGAGAAAAAACAATAAAAATGATAGAAAATTTCAAAACAAGATAATAACAATGGTTAATATATTGCATATTGTTATCTTCAAAATAGCTGCTCAGATTACAAGGACATAGACATGAGAAATTGATCAAAATATGTAAGTACAAACCATTCTTTTCAATGAATTCATAGAAATTAGTTATACAATTATCTCAGCTTTATTGTATATATGTATATCTTCTCTCCTTCATTCTTTTTTCCTTTCTCCCATCCCCTTTATTTTTTCCTTTTGAGCAATTTCTTCTCCTTTCACAATGTTTATTGTACATTTTGGATCTTATTTACTCTTTCAGTTTCTTATACTAAGAAGACAATCTAGTGTATACGTGTGAATATGATTCATTTCACTTTTGATTGTGGTCTCAAGTTGCATCCATTTACTCTAAAAACCTTGAGATTATTTTTCTTTATGGCTCAATGGTGCTCCATTGTATAAAAATATCACATCTTTTTTATCCATTCCTCTGTTGATGGGCATTTGGGCATTTTTTATTTTTATAAATTGTGTTGCTAAATGAGACTGCTCATATATCACTGTGATATGATGCTTTTAATTCTTCTGAGAAAATAACTAGAAGAGGAATAACTGGGTCAAATGGGATCTGCATGTATCTCTATGACCAGCATAACCTCAGTCCTTGAGAAGCTTGTAACATAATATTGGAAAAAGAGGGAAAATTACATGATTGGAAGAAACTCACCAAGTCGAAAGAACTCAGAAAGAACCCTGGCTTTCTGAGGCACAGTTTGCATTATAATGCAAATAATGTGTAACACTGAAAGGTGCAGGTGGGACATTGGTTGGCTCTTCTCTTGAGATGCATAAGCGCTGATGTTAAGTCTGAGAAGCTTTGAGGAAGATGTTTTCCGAACTAGTTGACATTCAGAAGGTAAGATAAAATGATGGGTCAGGAGGACTAACAATACATCTTGTAGATCTTGGAAAATGATCTAAAGGCCAGGTCAAGATGGTTTTCCTAGTTGTCACTCTACAAGCTTGTTTCGGGAGACCAGTAGGATGTTACATTTTCAGGTAAACTAATACTATAAAAGAAAAAAACTCAAGTGGTAGAAGATGGAATGGTAAAGGTGTTTGTTTGTGTTTTTTTGTTTTTTTGTTTTTTTTTTTTTATGAAGGATTGAGAATCAAACCTCAGGCCTTCACACTGAGCTGTATCCCCAGCTCTCTTTTTAATTTTTTATTTTAAGGCAAGGTCTTGCTGAATCACTAAGTTTCCCAGGGTGGACTTGAACTTGCATTCCTCCTTTATCAGCCTCCTAGAATACTAGAATTACAGATGTGTGCCATTATGTCCAACTAATAATAATTTTTATAGATAAAATAATCCTAGAAGTATTCCAGGAAAACCATGCTCCAAGAAAGGAGGACAAGTCAAAATGACAAAAAATGACATTGCGGATGAATTTAAATTATCACTTGGAATGGAGTGATACTGGAACCTTACAAGTCAAGAAAGAGACACAGCAAGATTCTATGACACAGTAATGGCTAGTGACAGTCATGCAACTCAAATTCCTGACTGGTCTCTAATGTGTATGCTCATCCTCTTTCTTGGATGGAACACCTATTTTTCACCTAAGTCCACAGTTACCCAGAATAAAGATTGCATTTCTCAGATTTTTCTTCAAATAGGTATAAACTCCTATGAACAAGGAGAAAAGAAGAAAACTGTATCATGTGACTGATTTCCTTAAAGAGAAGGGAACACTTATTTTCCTCTCTTCCTTCCTACTGGGGAAAGCAGCCATGACAGAGTGGGCCAGAACAATTGTTTGGTCAATGAAATGTGTGTCAGGAATAGCAAAACTAGAAGAGAAAATGAGCCTGAGTTCCTGGTGGTCATAGAGCCAACATATCACACCTGGATTGCTTAATCTTGAATAATTTTTTAATACAAGAAAGAAAGAAATGTCCATCTATGTTACCACTCCTGTAATGAGGTGCTGTGACTCTGCAATGGCAAGCAGAAGCATCAAAATTACACTGACAAGGAATCAATTGTTCCTCAAAATGTCAGGCCCTGAAGGCTCAGGGAGGGAAGTTCTTATGGGGTCGCAAGCAAGAAGCAGAGTACTTGACAGTCTTTGATTGGTTCTTACAATGTGAATCACAATGTCATTGTGATTCATAGAAGACAATAGTAACAGGAACTGTAACAGGAACTATTACCTGGGCAGCTAAGTAACTGAAGTTTTCTTCCAGTGAGGATGCATTCCAAGACCTATGGTGGACTCCTAAATCTGCAGGTATACTGACCCATATGTACATTATATTTTTACACACACACACATGCATGCACACATGAGTACATACACACACACAGTAAAGGATAAAATTTAATGTATAAATAATTATGTAAGTAGGAGAGGGGCAAAGTGTTGCTGCACTGGCTGGTGGAAAGGGGTGCATTTTCTGTTACAACTCAACAGTTCAACCTTATTCTTACCAATTTGAGAAGTTATCTTTGGCATATTTATAGGTGCTTTTTATTTTGCTCTTTATAATTTTCCATAGTTCCAAAGTTTTCTACAATGAATATATATATAATTTTATAAACAAGAAAAAATATTTTTTAAGGTAAATGAGAGAAGCTGAAGAACAGCTGCCCCAGAGAAACCAAAATATACTTGGATGCCTTTTATAGTGCAAAAGGGCCAACTTGGATCAGTCTTTTAATCCCATGTTGACTTGTCCCTGAGTGACTGTTTCCTTCTGCATTGCATGTCTTCTTGTTCCCTTTTCCTGTCTTCTTGGTCCCTTTTGCTGTCAAGGTTCAGTACAGGAAGTAAAAACTGTTTTAGATATCTAAAGTAGATAGGAATTTAACACAAGTATTGGGTACAACAAAAGCATTAGAAGAGGAAATGTGAGGAAGCCCTACTGAAGATCATGCTGCTACTGGGTTTTTGAGTTTTTAACCAGGAAGCTATGAACCAGAGGTCAGGAAACCCAAAGGTCAAGGGATGGCCACCAGTTTCATAACCACATTCATGAAGCTGACCACTAGAGAGTGGAATGTGAAGTTTGCCCCCTACAGTTTCTGGGCCAGGGATTTAGCTCAGCAGTGTAAGCACCTGCCTGGCAGGCACAAGGTGGTGAGTTTGATACCTGGCACTAAAAAAAAACAGTTATTTCTGCCAAAGTCACTACTACCATGAAAATAATGGCCTCCACCAATATTTCATCTTCCAAATCTTATGGAAGGTATCTCATCTCCTGGACTGCATCTAACTTCTGACATCAGAAAAGCCTGAAAAATGCAGTTGTAATAGAGATGTGTGAAGGTAACGTACAGATGAATACTGGATGCAATAAAAAAACTTGGTTCTTCTCTTGCTTGTTCCTTTTAAGTTTTCATTCTCAGTGCCTTGTAGATGGGTCCTCTGCTCATGATTTTTCTGTAGCAAATTAAAAACTTTTATCATACAATTAGTATATGTTAACAATGTTAGGCACCTCCAAATGTGCAGAGTGATAGCATTGTTCAAATCACCTGACAATTCCTCCAT